CAGTGTCTTCCTTGAGAGTACAACAAATCTCATCAGCTTTTTCCTTCCACCAGTCTCCATTTTCTACATTCACCACCACTACTTTGTAACATCATCTACTTTAGCTGAGAAAGCCTTGGACATGATGTTACAAAGTAGTGGTGGTGAATGTAGAAAATGGAGACTGGTGGAAGGAAAAAGCTGATGAGATTTGTTGTACTCTCAAGGAAGACACTGTTTTAATAGGTGTTGACAGATATTTTTATACTGTAGTCTATGGTTGGTGGAGCCGGATATGGATGGCCTCCATAAGAGACGACCTCATTACACAACTTGCAGGAACTAATACTCGGCGGATGTCACAAGCATACCTGGACGCGATACAGACACCGAATGCTGGAGTCGCCGGAGAACGCCTGGCTCAGAGAATACGCTCACTCATCCTCCTCGACAACGGCAAGACAAAGGTAACTCTAGGGACTGCCTCCACCAGACAGATCCGACAGTACCTGTCCCCGACTCCCGAACCCGAACCTCCCCCGACCCCTTCGACGATGCACCCTGAATCCGGCACCAAGTCCCAATGGCGCAAGTTCTGGAAAACCAAGATTCCACATAGAGCCCGTTCTTTCTGGTGGCGATACAAGCGTGACATTATCCCATGTGGCACGCTTCGGGCCCACAGGTGGAAACAGGACGCCCATTGTGACGCTCAGGGATGCAGGGAAAGAAAGGCTGACAAAAACCACCATGTCTTTGGATGCAGGGGCAAGTACCTAGCATGGCAGTTCATTTTGAGAGAATACACGGACAAGCCCACATGGTCCGATGAAGATCTCCATACTTTGCTATCCTTTAAACCCCCCATCTTTTCCATTAAGCCCAAATACAGCATCACCCCTCCACAATTGCCAGCGTGCTGCCTTATAGGTATAAACACAGCAAACACCATCCTCTTCCTCCACAATCACACACAGTCATCGGAGGAAATCTCTGACTGTATTTCCATAGAAATTAAGAAAGCCATAGCGCAAAACGTCTACATCTTCAACCATACGGCAACAAGCCACAAATAAAACCTTAGAAAATTAAAAAAAAAAAAAAAAAAGAATTAATCTATTCACACAGGGCTGTGTGACCTTATTCTCACAGGGACTGTCGGAATAAGACGAAAATTAAAGCGTTTTTTGATTTTCACAGGGTGTCCTCTATTAACACACAGGGTCATATTTTTTTTATTTTGTTTTGTTTTTACAGCCTTTTTCACACTATCGCCCAGCAATGAATCCTGTTCATATTATAGTGTCATAGATATGTTTCTTTTCTTTTTGTAAGTCATCTATCTCTTGCATCTCTTAGTCTCTGCATGCAGCCATTTTTTTTGTTGACTTTATTCTATCCCTATGCACTATCTCACATACTTTTTCGCCTGAGTATCAGATACTACTACTACTTCAAAAAAAACAAAAAAGACATTGAGAGAGAGAGAGAGAGAAAAGAAGGGAAAGCAATGAATATTGTAATACATACAATCACCTTCATTTCCATAGGTATAGTATGGGACATGTGTGTATTTTCATCTCCCTCCGCGAGCGAAGCCGCGGGTACTTCTAGTTACACGTACATGAAATAAAAGTTTGTTCTTTTTATGCCATAGCACAACGTTCTTGTCTCGTTACTTGTTTCAAGTGAGTGTAATGCTCTAGCGGTAAAAGTATATGACTGATATGTTTTAATTCGTTTGAAGAAAAGAGACAACTATTGCCTTTATGGGTGTAATTAAAGTGGGTACTAGGGTCTTAATCCAGCGCATAACGCTGGGGGAGGGGGTGGAGGAACAGATGAACAGAAAGCAGGAAGGGAAAGAAACATGGGCCAATACAGTATGTTTATGCGCCATTTCAACAATGCCAGCTGCTATCGAGAGCAGCCGGAGGACCCACGTTCTTGTAAGGCGCCAGTTCAAGGCATTCAGCAACGGTCACAAGTTTATACCCTGCAGCCTGAAGCTTCTGGATCACGTATGGGAGCAAATCATGTGCTGTCGTGCCCTTGGTTTCATGATTAAGAGCAAGAATAGTGCTTGGTCGATTGGCTATAGCTCTATCGTACAATGCTTTCGATTGGGAAACCGAAGACCCTGTTTAAAGCAATGGCAGGTTAGAGGGAGGGACTTTTGCAATGTTTAAAACTGCACTCTTTGGCTGGACTAGATTACTCAAACTCACCAGTACTATCTCCCGAGTCGAAATCCCAGTAGACAACTTTGTTTTCCAATGCACCAGCGACTTCGAGAACCAGATTGTTGTATGCTCCATATGGAGGGCGCATGAAAGCTGGGGTGGCACCAGTGATTCTCTTGATCGCTTGCTCCACTGGTGGGGGTAAAAAAAAGTTACTTTAGTATGTAATTGAGGATTGCTTCGACTGCCCTTATTCAGCATTGCTCATCTCTGCCTTAAACTTACCTAGCGACATTTCATTGTTGATCTGGTCTTTACTCAGCGTAGTTAGATCCGAATGGGACCAGGTGTGCGAGGCGATTTGATGACCATTATCATAAGCATTCTTGAGCCTTGCGATGCTGCCTCCACTATAGATGCAGTCGTAGTTATCTCCATTCACAAAGAACGTTCCCTTGGCATTGGCGTTGTTCAATTTTTTGACTATGTCGTTCATGTATATGTATGAGCCATCGTCAAATGTGAGTGCCACGGTGTTTGGTTTGGTACAGTGCTCGATTACTTGAGCTAGGGGTGGTGGATCACATGCGTTTGAAGGAGATGCTGCCAGAAGAAAGTAGGTAACTGCAATAGCTAAGGGAATGATACGTGACATCATTTGGGGAATAGGTGGGTCTGCTTCGGGATTAAAGAAAAGTTGGAGAATAATGGTAAGATGAACAGGGGGTACAGAGTCTTATATATGCTCTGTTGCTGTCTTCAGGATGAGAGGGGCAACAAGTGGTATCTGTTGTGGATGGAGTGATAATACGGCGTGGCTTGACTCTGATGACGGATTCTTGAAAAATTGAAGGTAATGAGTGGATGCAGGCTTGGTTATGAGAAAGAAGAAATAGAGCAAATCGTACACACACATGGAACGTCAATGAAGAAAAGGATTGGATGGATCACTAACCTTGCTTGCGGGTGGAGGTGGACGATGAAGATAAAAAGCGAGCAGGACATGGTCATCTTTTATATCATCAAAGTGAGATGAAAACAAAATTGAAGGGGATGATATTGAAATGTATATGGGTTGAAGTCAATGGGAAGAAAGAGTCTATTTCTTTATTACACACATCAGAGGGGATTATATGCTGAGCACAACCCACTCTGATGTTGGCGTTTCCACAGTTGTGGATTTGCCAAAGCACGGTGCACTTCTTCATTTAATAAAAAGGGGTAAACTAAAAATAAACCCGTACCGCAAGGCGACAATCCAATCCTCAGAATTATATTAGGTTAATGGACGAAAGGGGTAGCCTTTCAAAATCTCAATCACTCTTTGAGAGGGGAGGGGAAGGGAGGCATATTGATCTACTAGACACAGATAGTTGATACGCTTAGAAAGCATGATGCGATTGCAAAGGGTCCATAGTTTCAAAAAAAAGAGATCAGGAGATAATAAAAAGGGGAACATCAGGGACAACTTCAAGGGGTAGCATTAAATAATGGCTTCAAAGGAACAAAACCAAGCGATAACACCATCGGCAATACAGGATAACTTCAAGGGGAAATACCCAGGTTCAAAATCAAAGGCAGCATCAAAAGTGCAACGATTATATAACAATAGCCTGCTCTCCATCTAACCACCTCCCCAACTAACCACCTTCCCCAGCTAACCACCTCCCCATCTAACCACCTTTTCATCTAAAACCACCTCACATCTAAACCACCTCACATCTAAACCACCTCACATCTAAACCACCTCACATCTAAACCACCTCACATCTAAACCACATCTTCATCGCCTTCTAAGCCACATCATCATCATCCTGGATACCATAGACTTTGTCAGAGTTTCCCTCTAATATCTGAAACATCACCAATGCCACCAACCTCTCGATCCTTCTAGCGCCACCAAACATCGACAGGTTCCATGCCTGACTAGTGAATAATAGCTGATTAATTAGACATCACTCTCTCGAAAATACTAGAAGTACCAAGGATCCATCCTGGCCCCCGTAAATATGTCAATACCCATAGTCTGTACCTAGCTTAGTCTTCGGTTCATATTGCGCGTTTCAAGTAAAATAATTAATTCGGACAGCTAATCATTGATTAAACGAATGTCAATTTTTTTCATTTTCCGATTAGACCACTAATCATTCCGATTAGAGGGCTAATTTTTGTGCAATCAGCATGCTAAACCTGCTCCACACAATGCTTTGCTTGGTCAACGCTTGGAACAGAGCGAATAACGACCTAGGAATAGTTTATCACTTAGTGTTTTGAGGTGAAAGTTTGACCTCAAAACACTAAGGGTTAAGCTATTCAAGCATGGTAATGCTGGCTACTCGAAGTGTTTTAAAAATTATCCTTTCTCCCTCACAAAAAAAAGAGAAAAAACAATTCTCCACAAAAAATATTTCCGCTCCATGACATATTCCGAGGATCTTCGATGGAGGGCAGTTATACTTTTCAGCCTCATGGCCATTGATCTGAATGAAGTAGCTTCTTTATTAGGCATATCCGCTGGCACAATCAAACGTTGGACAGGTAAATACAATATGAAATGACCTTCCTTCGATGAGAAACAACGTAGATCATTTTAACCAACCATTGTCACAGAATGCTTCAATGCGACAGGGCAAGTGTATGAGAAGAAGGCACGCCTAGTCCCTCCAGTTTGGCCAACAGAAGTGCAGAACAGCGTCAGAACTTTTGTGGAGGAGCGCTCTGGCGGGTAAGGATACGTCTCTTTGAAGGATTTTGTTTCTTGGACATGGTGGCAAGGTGGAAGAACGATGCTTTTTTTTTTTGCGAGAGCAATGAAAATGAAAAATTTCCTTGATGGTGTCAGATTAGCATCCGAAACAGTTCGAATAAGAATTCTCCGATTAGAGACTATTCTCCCATTAGACAGAAAAAATTTACATCATTTTATTTGAAACGCGCAATAGAGCTAGAGCCAGATTAATAGTCACTTTTTTTGTTCATTTTTATTGAAACCCCGCAATATAGCTATATTAAGTAAAGAAAATAAAGAGACATTAGGATGTGCATTTATGAAGCAGTGCCAAAACATGTATTTAGTCTGGCTTACCCGAACAGCTTTCATCATAGCACTGTCGTCAAAATCCACCTCGGGGAGCTCGGCAGTCGATTTTGCGAGTGCACGCAGAAGCTTCTTGGAGAACGCTTCTTCCATCCTCCTTGTTGACATTGATGGTGCAAACACCCCAATGATAGCCATGGCGTCTGCAACCTCCGTCTTCCTGATTTCGTTGTTAACCAAAGACTCAATACACGCTCGCTGGAATTCTTGAAACCGACATGCAACACAAGTACCGTCCACCATCCACTCGCAAGCCCGATGAGAAGCCTTTTCAACGATGCCTAACAGAGTCTCACGCTCAGCATTGTCGAGTACAGGCTCTTCTGCTTCAACAGCAGCATGATCTGACTCTGCTGCTTTAACAACGGAATGCTCCGACTCTATTGATGGTGTTGTTGACTGTGCTGGCGATGACGTAGGTTGAAGTGTTCGGCCATGAGGCATAGTTAAAGGAGATGTGGATGGTCCTGATGCATGGCGCTGTTGATTCTGAACCACCGCTATTATGCACACATATTGTATCCGAATAATCATTTAGCAAACTAAGCTGGTTTTGGTTCTACAAAAATATCATTGCCATTAAATACAAAACCAACAATCTTACCGACATAGTTTTTAATGTCAGAGGTGTGGAGGGATGACACAGCTTGTTCTTATTGAGAGACATTTGGCAACAGAGCCTTGACATGGTCCCGCTATGTGCAGTTTTAAAATAAATAAAAAATAGACAAAAGCGTTCGAGGTTAGGGTTTGTTGACAACATACAAATCGACAGCTCTCCACATAATTACTTACTACTTCGAACACTTCGTCAACAATGGCCTCTAGATCCTTTCTCGTGGGTTTCTTGAGATATCTCGCTTGTCGACGTTTCTGGGCACTACTGTGCCTTTCGAGGTACGGCAATACAGTTCCCGTCCAGGACCCAATCAACTGTTCCTTTTCTCGATTATCGTCCAAAGCTGTCAAGAACGCCCGAAACGATATCTCATTCGCCGGAGTCTTGTTACAAAACTCCTTGTAATTTTCGAACATCGCAATGAAAACGATGATTGGGCTCTCCTAAGTACAGAGTAAATCCTCAGCGAAAAAGGGAAAAGGCGCAGCATTAGTTCCAAAGTCAATTGGAGCAGCAAAAAAGTAGACAAGATGTTTGATGATAGATCAAGTGAAGGCACGCTGAATTAGACCGAAAGAAACACTATCGGATCCCAGTAATCATCAGTGCCATTCCCCCTTGTCATTGGAAGGGAATGGCACTCAATTAGTGGACCCGCTTAACACATTCTCGGGTCGAAAATGTGGATAGCCATTCACGAAGTTGTCCTCATGTGACTGACCAAGAGAGATGAGGGCCCCGTCCAATCGAATCATTGCCAATAACAGGAGGAAAGAGAAGGAACGCCGTCTTTACACAAAAAGAAGCACTATTTGATTCCTGGGCCAACACCAACATCCACTCCTTGCCTATCATGAAGGGAAGATTGGCTACGGATACCGCATGGCGAGGACTGGCTTCACACACCCGCGATCCTCTTCGCAGATGTGCATATCCTTTCTCAAAGCTTATCTCATATGTCTGGCCAGAGAGATGAGAGCCTCGTCATCCAGAGTCTGTCATTGGTTTGTTTAAAATTCAGACACAATTGAGGTAATTACCTACCAACAGTTAGATGAAACGTCTTCTGCGAGAGAGAGAGAGAGAGAGAGAGAGAGAGAGAGATGAAAAGGAAGGCGAGAGGGATGAGAGAAGATGAGAAAAGAAAACGTTATCTTGTAAATATTAAAGATTAAAAAGGATACGTCATCAGAGATTAGGGGCGCAGGACAAAGGACGCCACAATTCTCTTATTGGCTGAAAGAATCAATGGGATCTTTCCTAATATGGATCGAAATTAACTGTCAATTGACACCAAGGCTTTCTGTTCTCCATATAAGTGACAATATGAAATGACACTCAAAGCTGTTTCTTCCTCACCATTTTCCTACTCTTACTACTTCAGCAAACCGACTATCCTCATCAACATTCGTTTCTTTTGACCCCAAAAGCACAAGCCCCAACGCCATGGGGTTCTTCGACAGGTACCCTTTCATTCGCAAGAAGGGCTACAACCCTACTGTTCTATACCAATCAGTCCTAGCCTCTCTCCTGACAACAGGCACACGTCGCTTTGATGTGATGGCCAACTGCTTTCCCGTCATTCAACGGACCTACTCGAACCATAACTTGCCTCAGGATGTGGCGCACAAAATTTTGGAAAACGGCATTAAACGATCTGGCAACCCACTCAACATGCATCTAAAGTGCTCCACAAAAGTGTTCAACCAAAACACGATTTTGCCGTTTTTTTTGAAATGCTCATTCACCAATGTTCCAACCGGCCCCCAGATTCCAGTCATTCATTCTCCTGAATCGTAACCCCATTCACCACCACTTGCTCTTTTTTGCATGGACCGACATTGGATCATCGCCGGAATTGAAATGCCTAACTCTGCTTGAACAGTTTAATGGATTACATGCATCACGATCTCCTTTTTCAACTTGCGGAGTCTTCGTAGTTTCTTATTACCTCTACATTTTAATGAGTTACTTCCTCAATCCTATATGACATTGTGTCAAGGTTTGGAGTTCCTACTTATAGTCTTTTGTGTGTGACTTATATGCATGATTTTACATGGGTTTAGCACGTATTTAGCTGTTTTTTTAATACCACAAGCTCAATGCACTTTTAACAGGCAAACTGAGAGCTGGTCCATGTATAGAACACGCTGTGGGGTCTAGAAGTCTTTAATGTGAGAAACCAGCTACTCTCAATGAAGTGTAATACCGTGACAGGATTTAAAGTCATGCTAACTCCATGTAACAATACTTACTTTAGTGATATCTCATGTTAACGTTGCGGTAATCCCATACCTTTTCTATGTTGCTGATCCACAACATGTTCTATACATGGACCAGCTCTCAGTTTGCCTGTTAAAAGTGCATTGAGCTTGTGGTATTAAAAAAACAGCTAAATACGTGCTAAACCCATGTAAAATCATGCATATAAGTCACACACAAAAGACTATAAGTAGGAACTCCAAACCTTGACACAATGTCATATAGGATTGAGGAAGTAACTCATTAAAATGTAGAGGTAATAAGAAACTACGAAGACTCCGCAAGTTGAAAAGGAGATCGTGATGCATGTAATCCATTAAACTGTTCAAGCAGAGTTAGGCATTTCAATTCCGGCGATGATCCAATGTCGGTCCATGCAAAAAAGAGCAAGTGGTGGTGAATGGGGTTACGATTCAGGAGAATGAATGACTGGAATCTGGGGGCCGGTTGGAACATTGGTGAATGAGCATTTCAAAAAAAACGGCAAAATCGTGTTTTGGTTGAACACTTTTGTGGAGCACTTTACATCGACGGCGGTCAGGCAGTAGAGAAAGAGAACACAACCGAGGCACGAGACGAAACCCGACACAAGGCCCTGGACCGCACAGAAAAGAGCATCGAGGTTTTCGAGGAAAGACTGAATGACAATTTGAGGGTCAGGAAATGACACTTCACTGACGTCAAGGCTGGACTCAAGTCGTCTTTTCACTGGTCGTTGAGGAGTCGCCAGGAGTTTGCCAGCTACATGCGGCACTGCGGTTGGACTGTTGACGTTTGCGAGACGGAGGCGGATCTTGCAATGGCCCAGGATGCTCAGCCTGACGACATCATCATCTCGAAGGACAGTGATATGATGGCGTATCAATCGGTCAAGACCTTGTGACACCCAGTCTCTAATAACCTTATCCTCGTTTACAAGCTTCCCAATGTCCTCGCGACCCTTGGGATCACTCGGACGTAGCTGACGGCTCTGGCTGTGGTTTCGAGGAATGACTATCACAAGAATATCTACTCGCTTGGACGAGCAGCCAATTTCAGCATCATCAAGGAGATTGGATCAAGCCCAGGTAATATTGCGTTGAAAAGGAATGGCGGCTATTTTTGGGCATTCTCTGCCAAATGCTACTTTACAAATCGAGTTCTCATTTTGATTACCTCTTCTTTTTTAATAGACACCTGAGAGATTGTCGCTGCGTACCTCACCCACCGTCAAGTCAAGGTGAAAAACACCAAAGAGGAGACATTCGGGAACTCTATCCGGGTGTTCATTCTTTTGCAACAAGATCGTGTCGAGCCTTTGGCCCAAGAGTCACGAGCCCAGCAACTCTTCCGTGTATTGCAGGACAAGTTCAGGGAGCTTTGCATCAAGCATGAGACTCTGAAAAATATTCGAGCAGCAGGAGTCAAGGAGAGGTAATTATACCATTCATTATTGAAGGGCTTTGTACTTTGTGGAGAATTATTTGCGAGGTGCATTTCTCACCATTTCATTTGGTTGGTTTTTAATAAATAGAACCAAGGACGACGTTGTACGGTTGCCATCGCCAAAGACCACAACCGATACAGAACAGTCGAGTCACCCAAGGTTGTCTCCATGGCCACCACTACTGCTACTTCATCGCCACAATCCACTCTGGCTCCTGGACCTTCACAACAGAGCTCCTCTTTGCCCTCTAACCCGAATGCAGACGGGCATCCTCCATTGGCCAGGACGCGAATTCCGAGGAATTGAGGTCGGTTTTCGTTCAAAGAGAGAACGCGCAAGATTGTCCATGGCCCACCTCCCTAGGCCAAGCAGTTCAAGCTCAAGTTCTACCGGGAGCCGGCGCAGACCAACAGTGTTTCTATCAAAAAGTCCAAACCGAAGGGCGACAGAGTCTCATCTGGACTTCAGAATAAATCACTTGCAGATCTCGACAAGAATGGTCTCGTGCGGTCGATGAACTGGCACCACCCAACGTCTTCTTTGGAGATTGGTACAGTGCGTGCGAACGTCAGACGCGTGGCGATGGACGGAGTTGCCGGCACTGACGCTCTTACCAAGGAGCGGCAGGAGGTAGTCGATTGTTCCCAGGAGGCCCCACGGCTGGCTGTGGGCGTGAAGCGTGAGGCTCAGCGTCTTATTGACCATTTCGTGGAAATGCTGAGGGATCGCATGGACAAAGTGGAGGAGGAGCAAAGGATTATATTGGAATTAATGACGCCACCCCAAACGATGACCAAATTATATCGACTTCAGTGCAGGAAGGACTCTATCACGGAGGCGGAGCGGGGGATACTGTTGTCGGTTTGCGAGTGGACAAGCCTGCGGATATCGATAAGGGTGAGGAGGATGCCGGCGGCATCAAGGAGAACGACGACTCCAATGTCGCGAACAGGCAGGACAAGGAGTTCAGCTTCTTAATCTCTTTCCTGACGTATCTCTATTCAGGAAATTACCCGAAGGAGAACTCCAAGGCAGGCGGCGTTGCTAATCAGCTTGTTGTCTGGTTGGTGAAGGACGGGATACATGATCCAGTTCGGGCGCGCAGGGAACTTCAGGAAACCGCACCATTCACACCGACGTATTTGGTCCGATCTGTGTCTGGTCAGCTGGCTGTAGAGCTGAGACGAGTGTATGGGCATAGGAGCCGTGATCTCCACAATAAGGTATGGGCTGAAGTATCTTTGGCTAATTCAGGTGTGCTGTTATGCTTTCATCGCACAAAAAAAAATATCGCGAATATTATTTAATTTATTTTATTTTATTTTATTTTATTTTTTTCTTTTCATGCATAACTCAAGGTCATGAAGGACAAGGGCATAGTAAGAGGAGATGTCGACATTCAAATTCGACCAGATGTTTCCGCCGTCGAGAACTTTCTCTACTTGAACAACCTCACGGGAAACAGCCGTCGGATTGTGCCCCTTACCTCCTCACAGCAACCTTCCATACATTCTCGGAGAGGGAGATTGCAGCCTTTTCTGGAAGCGTACATCGCTGAAGGAAAGATTGGTGCGGTTGGGCGAGTTGGATAACTCGACCATCACCTCAGTGAACGACCTTGACACATGGATAGCAGGAAAAGAACCCGGTTTTATCATCAAGAACTTTGTCGCCGACGTCGCCCCTCAAGGTCTCACAAGTCGACAGCGGAAGCAAGCAGATCATCGATCTGCGGCCAAGCTGTGGTCCTTGGATCAGATCCGGAGTCACTTGGTGGATGTCCAGAATGAATGGCTCGACCCCATTACCTATGCCACGAAGGGATATGTCCTCCGAAACTCTCTAAAGACCGACGGGTTCAGGATACAGTTGTTGGCATTCAAGCTTCGAGAGTTTCAGGATGTTCGATTTCGCCGTATCGCAGAGGACAGGCTGCCCTCAAGATTGACTTCGACTGTTGGCGGAATCGATTACTTTCTGCCTGAGATCAGGGATGTCATTACCAGCAAGGACGACGTCGCCAAATATTGGCCAGGAGTTCAACCCGAAGAGATCAAGGCGTTGACTTTGGACGGCGGAAGGCATGTGTCATTGGCGCCTCTGCGGATATTCCGGACGACTCGCTCAGGACTGGAAACGGCAAGGAGGTCGGCAGGTAACTTCAAGCATGGAAGGGATTGTTGCTACCTCTGTGGAACCGACAGCAACGTCGACATCCTCAATCTCTCTTCCTATCCCCATCTCGGTTTCAACTCAAGATCAACAGACAACAACCTCGCCTCTGGTGTCAACAAGGACGGTGTTTCACAATCTGCGTTGAAACAAAAGGCGGTGTATCAACCAACATTCCGCTTCCGTCGGTGGCTGGAGGGCGAGAAGCAGGCGTTGCTGGATGTGGGTGAGGAACACCGAACGATTGCAGGAATCGAGACTGAACTTCCACCTTTGAAAGGCGAGGGGGCGAGTGTCATCAACTACACTGCAGAGCTGAGGCGAGTCGAGGAGAGACTATTGGAGTTCTAAGCGGGCCCAGACCAGCTGTATAAACGCCACAAGTGGGACATGGAGCGTGCCCGTCAGTATGAGTACCAATTGCTTGCCGACCGCCTCCTTGGTATCGTTGGAGGAAGTATCGGGCGTCGATATGATCCAGTAAACCCTGTCTTGATTGGAGTAGGACTGGGCAAGTTCTCGATTAGGAGTGGACTCTCCTCTCTTGACTCCACTTTCCTATCTTTTTTTGTGCAGAAGGTAACCATTGATTCAAGAATATCATTAAGGATTGACACCTGCGAATACTTGTCATCCGCAAAACAAACAAAAGATAGTTAATACGATTGCCCGTTTCCTTCAAATTAGGCACGGTCGTTGGGTTACCTGGCCGTTGGACTCAATGGGTATTATACGAGCAAGAAATGTCCTTACTGTGGGCTATGCGTCGCCCAGGTCACCTTCCGCCGTTTCTTTTGCCCAACCTGCCACGTTTATCACCACCGTGACGTTATGGCGGCTGTGAACATGGCCAACCTTGTGCGAGGATATCTTGAGAAGCAACAGCGTCCAGAGCACCTCCAGCCTGTGGCTCCGGACGGATCTCTTCCTTGGATGGCTAGTGCCGGCGCAGGATCAGAACACTCTCGAACACAACCCCTGGAAGCGGCAGCAGCGGGAGCACTGGCACAATGAGTCGATGGCCAGGACATCAAAAAGGGCCTGCCTCTACCTCAAGCACCACGGACGGAACTCAAGGCCGACTAAAGAGGTCAGCCATTGCCTCTAGCTCAAGCCCGGCGCGCGGTGGAAAGGGTGCGCGGAAGTAGTCTACTGTCTCCATCTATCTTGGGGTGCCATTAGGCGAATATGCGATACACACCTATCTCTTGAAGGTGTCCATCTACTATTAAACTGTACCACTCACTGCAAGGTTCAGAAGAGTAGTTCTTGTATGTGATCATCTAAGGCAATTATACTCTCAACTGTATCTTTGAGGCGAAATACAGGTGTTTTGTTACATGGATCTAGCACGATTTCACATCTTATCATGATATTGCACTCTATTGAGAATGGCTGGCTTTGCACATCGAAGAATTCTAGATCGCACACCATGTCCTCAGTATGGAACTGCTTTCAGTTTGTCTGTAGAAAGTGCATTGATATAGTGGTTTTTAATAAAACCTGTTTGTTCCGTGCTAAACCCATGTAAAAATTTACATGCAAATCATTCGCCATTACATGCGATCCATTTAATTGATCAAGCGGATTTAGGCATTTCAATTCCGGCGATGATCCAGTGTCGGAACTTGCAAAAAAAGACAAGTAGTGATGAATGGGGTTATGAATCAGGAGAATGAATGACAGGAATCTGGGGACCAGTTGGAACATTGGTGAATTAGCATTTCAAAAAAAAAGTCGAAATCACGTTTTGGTTGATCACTTGATAGGAACACAGTATTTTTTTTTTTTTTTAGGAGGTGGGGGAATGATTGAGGTGTGGTTGGGAACTTGAAGAAGAGGTGCTTGTGGCAGCCAAACGTTCATGGAGACGTTGCTTTTTGATCTCCTCCCTGCAGGAGAATTCCAGGCCGCGTTGTCAATGCTTCGTTCACATAGTTACAAAAAGATGTGGTGGCTAGGCAGTGGCGGCGATGCCTTAGGTTAGCAGTCATATTCTTTAGTAGATAGTATTAGTAGTGCGCCGAGCCCTCTTGTCTGCTCTTTGTCCTTTTACACATCACTTCTTGGACGAGAGCAGTATTGACAAGAGTTTCGCTGGCGCGCTGCAGGTAACAACCCCCTCTTTGATAATATGAATACAAGGTCCTTTTACACATCACTTCTTGGACGAAAATAGTATTGACAAGAGTTTCGCTGGCGCGCTGCAGTGTATCGTTTCATGTGATTCTCTTAGGACGTTAATATCACTTCCCCCCCCTCCAACCTACAACCCCCCTTCCCCCCCCCCCCCCCCCTCCTACCAATTGAGGACGTAACAGCGGTCCTACAACTCTGGCCGTCGACCCTCTCCCCTGAGTAACAAGGCGTTCAGCCATAACCCAACGGATGATAGCTTCGGGCCATTGCCTGAGCATTAAATCTTGCCCAACTTTACTAATATGACACATTTCACATCCACTGGCCGCAGGTCGTTCAGGCATCGCCAAGATAAAAAAAAGATACTGTGACAAGCCTCAGAACCTGAAATGGCTCACTGACCACCATGCATATTGCTCGCCAACAAGGGCCAGTCGCCATTCTCTTTGTCTTGGTTTTTCTGCATTCATTTATCACTTCATTATTTTGTTTTCCAAGAAAAAAAGGAGACTTTGATATGATTGATCACTGGCCCGCAGCCGCCAGGCCTCTTGAACTTATATTTGTGGCGCAACACGTAAAAGATTTTGTACGTGCAATTGATCTCGTACGTCCACGTTTGAGTTTGCTTTTCCGCAGAATGAGACCCAGTGGACACGTTAGAGTTGAAAGTCTGTCTTTCTTTTAACTCTCACCACTCTTCCTTCTGTTCATTCCTTCTATTCCTTTCCTTCCTTTCATTCTTTTCCTTTCCTTTCGTTCATTCGTCATTGTTCCCCCCACCCTATTCAAAAAATGAAATGGTTGAACAAGAAAGGATTGTTCTCACTTCTGATTACTTTGATCGTTGTGATCTTCCTGTCCTCTGCAACCGTGTCTGCTGCTCGACCAGAACGTGTTCGTACGACGCTTGCAATTGGTAAGAACAAATTCGCCCTTTCCCTTCCCTCTTCGAACCGCACTGCAGAATCCTCAGAATAACCATCCATTTTATGTTCATTTTCTTCTCAGAGGTTGGATCTAGTGTCACTCGTTTGAGTGTCGACGTTGGTGATAACGGTAAACCGAAAATAATATCAATCGGTCCAGGGACACGTTCCACGGCCGGACCATTGGAGTCCAACTGGACAACCGAAGGATTCCTGTTGATTAAGGATGGCACAGACAAAGCGCGTTATGTGCACCCATCCAACACACTTTTCAACCTTGGCCATCCAATCGCGTTGCGTTCACGGCATCATTACGGTATCAGGCCCAACATTACCGGACACCAGGCATTCACCCTCATCGACATCACAGCCAAGTATCTGCAGGAATTAACAACATCCGCTGAATTGATTCTCGGTCATAGTGTCAACTTTGTTGGTATCCTCTCGCCAGATGGACAAAGCCTACGGACCACGACAAAGGAAATCATCGGTGATGGGTTCAGAGGGAACTACACCTTGCTTGAGAGAGTTTATGTTGGTAGATACACTGAACGGATAGTGATTGAGTTGAGGGAGGTGATGGAGAAAGCCTTAAATGCTGCAGGACTGCAACGCCAAAAAATCTCTTCCCACGTGTACAGGAAAGCCTCTGCCGCCATCGGTTTCTTTGATCAAGGCATGGAGTACAGTCGAAACGTTCTTGTCTATCGTCTCGGTGGCTCGACATTCGAGGTCTCAGTCCATGAAGTTGACGACGATTCCAGTTACGCCATGTCTTCCGTCTATGATCAACACCTGGGCGGAAACGATTTCAATCAACGCGTCGTCGACCATTTACTCCTGGCCCACAAGAACAAGACCGGTCATGACCTCTCCAGTGACGACAAGTTTCTCCTTCGACTGGGAAACGAAGTCGAAAAGGCCAAGCGAATGCTCTCTGTCCACGACTGTGTTCGGATCGAAATCGAGTCCCTCCACCCTGGGGTTCAAAGTCTCTCCGAAAAGTTGACTCGGCCTCAGTTCGAGGATCTCAATATGGATCTCTTTACCAAGACCATCACGGCGATCGATCAGGCTATCAAGGACTCTGACGAGTATACCAAGAATGACATCCAAGACATCATGTTCTCCGGTGGATCTACCAATATCCCCTTCCTTCAGTCGACCATCCGAGAGTATTTTGGCCGCCATAAGAGATACCATGGATCGAATCACCCTGAAACCACCGTCGTGTTTGGTGCGGCAAAACTTAGTCATTGGTACCTGGACGAAAGGCGGTCTGGCGGCGGCGTGTGTTGCTTTATGGAAAGTCCAGGAGCCTTTGGCATCGAGACAGCCGGCGGAGTGATGTTCAAATTTGCGGCTCAGTACGCCGACGTAAATACCAACAAGATGTACACGTTTTCCACCGCGATGGATAATCAGGACCGAGTGGTCGTCCGGGTCTTTAGTGGAGACGGAACACGGACGAGTCAGAATATATTCCTAGGTGGAATCGAGCTCACAGGCATTGCGCCGGCTCCCAAGGGCGTTCCAGAGATCCGTGTGAGACTTCGCGCTTACTATTGTGGCAGTTCTATCGATCTGCATGTCATGGACGTGGCCTCTGGGAGGATCAATGAGACGACACTCTCACCCTTTAAGGACTATGGGGAGGAGACCATATACGAGATGTTGGAAGCAGGTGCGTTCGAACTCGAACCAGCAAGCAAACAAACGCTTTTACATGTTTAAGGAGTGCAAAAATAAAACGCTGGGGAAGGAGGGGTTTTTTGTGTGTTTACTCACATTGTACCTAAACGTCCAAGGGACACAACGCTTCTCTTTGCCGCTCTCTTGTTTTAAATTTGCTAAGCCTCTTCAGCTCCGTTGAATGTCACCATCCTTACTTTTAATGAAGCCCCATTGCTCCGAGAAGTTTTTTTGCTCTTGTTTATTAGGAGGGATCAGTCTTAAATGAAATTCAAACTGGCGAAAAAGATTCCGCAAAGAACTGCATAGAGTGAAAGGTAGAGGGTGAAAAAGGTTTAAATGGCCTCGGTTCACCTTTCCTTTTATTGCTCCCTATGTGACCCAGGAGTTTGTAACACAAGATTCCCGTTGAGGGATTGAGGGTATCAAGGACGAACCTGTTGTATGTCCTCTCATGATATACCATATCTCCTGTTACCGATTGCCAAACAACCAACATTTCCGTCCCATAGGAGTCATCTTCTTGGGTATGTCGACTTGACCCCCATAGACTTTATCTTGTGTAAGTAGTGGTGTGACCTCACAGTGTGATGAATCTTCTCTCGCCTCCCGATGGTAATACTATTGTCGTGGGGTCCACAGATGACGGAAACACCAAAACATCTTCTCAGTCTCTCCTACTTTTTGAATCATTTTAATGATATAGATGTGAACGCGGAGGAGGCTGCCGGAAGAGTGTCTGTCCAATCAGACGGCAAGTGCACAATATACACTCCTTACTCTTACAGCAAAATCGATCATGGCTATGCAGCCCTGAATACCCTTCAAAAACTACAACAAGCACGGTCAACAGATCCCAACACCTCACAACCACTGGCAACCTACAAACTTATCGAGGACTCTATGAAGGGGTATGCCAGAAGTCTTGTGAGAGGTATCCTTCGCACCGAGCATGTTGAGAGGGATGAAAACGGCGAACAGATCTGTTCGGGCCGCGATGTTTCAACAAACAGCAATGCCACGAACTACTACACTGTTGCAGAGCATATTCGATGCTTGCTCTATGCTTGGCGCCAACCTGTCAACAGTCGCAGTATTATGATTCGTGAGCACTTTGTACCGCCGGTACGACATAGTGTGCTGTTGAGGAACGAGAATGTGCGTTTCCTGGGTATCTCCGACTGCTCGATGGACACCTTTGTAAAGCAGCCCGGAGGAACTCAGGAGGTGGTGTCGTTAGTCTTTTCTATGAGAATAGGAAAGTCAAACACAACCGGAAATGTTCAACTTGGCAAGGCTGTGCGACATGCCGATGTTCGTCGGTGCAGCGTTGGCGCATTTGCCTTTTACATGTTTGAGCGATTTCAGGCAGATATCTCTGTTTTATTATTCTTCCTTGCCAGGGATTCTATCTGTGTGTATCTTTCTTTTATTGTCTACGGTGCTTGAACCGACGAAACTAAACTAAAAAAATATATAAAGCTATGGATCCCTCATTAAATTAAATGTTTTCAAGGGTGTATGAATGAAAGAGTACTATGGGTAAAGATTCGATGAAAGGGGTCTTTTACATTAGTGTAAGGCGCACTCAACGAGTGAATAAACACACATAGGTGGGCCATATCTCTGGCTGTTTAGATGAGACGATTCGCTTGATTAATTTTTGATTTTTCACAGCCACTCACACACCTTTTTTTTTTTTTTTTCTGTAATAAAGCCATTTAATTATCGCTGACGCTTTCTATTATCTACACAGGATGAGGACGTTATACCTACAATTGTACTTCCTCTCCGTAGCCGCTTGACAGTAGGAAGGGAAATAGGCGTAGTAGTAGAAGCAGGGGCCGTAGCAGGAGCAACACTTTTGCTCCTTGTAACCCGAGGGATTGCAATCCTGGGCTTTAAAGGCTGTTGGTTCACTCGTTTGGCTCCTAGCGGTTCTGGAGACTCATCACCTTCATTTCCACCATTCTCACCTTGTCCTTGTCCCTCTACCTGCTCTGCACAATGCCCTTCCACGCTCTGGATCACATGCCTCGGCTGCTGGTTCAGTCTGCGTCTCACCAGCGGTTCTGGCTCCACCTCCTCATCCTCGTCTTCATGCTTGTCGTCTCTTCCTTGGTCCTGAAGCCCTGATGACGAGGATCCAACTGCATCTGTATGTTCCCGCTCAAGATTTTTCTGATGGATAGACTTGAGAAGCTGTCTGACCGTATCAGCTGCCTTGCCGTGGACATCCTTCACATTGGCCTCATTTCTTCCCAAGTAGATAAACTCCATTGTGATGTATTTCCTCTGAGAATACTTGGCGGAATCTGTCTTGCGCATTGCCTTTGTCCAGGAACGAAGTGGAATCAGCAGTCCTTTGCTTGGGTCGCCGTTCTCCCACTGTTCTACAGCATCTTGCCACTTTGAGATGGTAGGTATACGTGGAGCAGCCGGCGGGATGATGCATGGCTGTTGCTGTTGCTGTTGCTGTTGCTGTTGCTGTTGCTGCTGTTGTTGAATTACTTGACCAATGCGTTGAGGTAACTGGGGTGCCTGTTCCTGAGTGACTGGATCTATTGGATGCTGTACTACTGCTGATGGACGAGTTTCTGTCACTGTTAATCGCCGGATAGCGTCCAGAAGTGTCTTGGTCGACTCTTGGCGGCGTCGCTCCATCGTCTCATGTCGGTATTGCATCTCCTGCTTTAGAATAGAGAACTGATGAGCCGTCTCCTTGTCCACTGTTGCGCGCAGCGTTTCTAGGGACGCTGCAAGACCTTGTTGAGTGGCTGGGGCCATTCCTGGGGTATCGGTTTCTCCCATGAAAACGGCATGTCGACTGTCTTGTCGTACCGGTGAAAGCATATCACTAAAGCCCAGCTCGTATCGGTTGTACTCGTCTAGCAGATATCGCATGATTGTGCCCGTCCCCTCGCCTTCAGACCACCCTCCCCACCACTTCACGGCTTTCAATGACCATTTCTCCTTAGCAAACATGAAACGGTATTGTGCCCCGCCTCGGCGAAAGCAGTGTGTGGTGAACCAACCATTCCGCCCATCCAGAAGTCCTAAGTGCAGCAAACAACAACCTCAGGGTTAGCAAGAAAAATACGCAATTAACACTAGCACTCGTTGTACTATAATGTGAATGTATCGCACCTGAAGTCCTTGTGAATAGATCCAACAACGCCTGCACGCGTGTGTGCGATAATGACTCCTTGACTTTAACACGCCCTCTCACATCCAACGCTGGGAAAACAAAATCGTCGGGTCGCAATTTTTGTCCACTGCGCTCCATCCATCGAATCCAAGTGCTGAGTTTCGTGAAACAGCAGATATCTGGATCCTCGGGCTGAGGATGGATCTAGTAGATGTTAGCTACGTGGTTGAGGGTGAAGAGTAAACGTACACTGTTTGAGCACGACCTACGGTCTATCCAACGCCAAGTTCAAAACAAAGTTGTACCTTTTAGAGCATCTGCTTGATTCGTTTTGCGGAAAGTTAGAGTGATGGTTAAGTATGGTGTCCCTGCGTCGGTGTTGAGGCCTAGCTCAAGGTCTCTCCTTTGGAGTCGGAGCAGTTCTTCATTCCTAGTAAGGGACGGTAAATATTAAATATGGACATGGTCAGTTTAGAAACAATAGCATCGTCACTAATAGTGCTGTTAAGATCATTACCTTGTCCATAGAGTGAACCCAGTGGCCGCAAAAGCCTGGAATAGCAAACACATTCCCTGGGTCTCCTTCTCAATAGCCGTACTGTCCTGTAGATGCCCCATAAGCCTGGTCATATCTCTGTAGGATGTTGCCAGACTTTGTTTGGTGACTCCTGATCTTCCATCGCGATTCTTGAGAGATTTATAGTACTTGACAAATGTTGGGTCAAAGACAGGGTTGCCGGTCCAATTGTTGAGATCATCACAATACCAGGTGTCGCCTTGACAATTAAAGGTGGTCTCGAAGTATTGCTTCAGTGCACTCCTGATGCCTTCTGCTGTCTTGAATGTATAGCGGGACTGCTCACACTTGGACGCGATAAATGCAAGCAACACAGTGGGGGTGTGAGCGGATATTGTGGTGAATGCTGTCTTGTATTCAGGATCTGCAGTAGCGGCGGCGTACTCCAGAGCTCGTTTCACGTGGCCCTGATAACTCTTTGAGGTCCCCTTGCTGTAAAGATGGGCTTCAGTGGACTTGGCCGCTGCATGCAATGCCTCCTTGAGCATGGAAGCATCCACGGCATGGCGGGTGATTGCAGCCTTGGAGGACGAGGCTTGGGAGGATGAGGCTGTGGAAGATGAAGAAGATGGCATTCTGAGAAAGTTAGAGAGAATGGGGTGGGGTCGTGAAGGAATGGAGGAGAGAGATTTGAAGAGAAGAGAGCACAAAGGAAAAAGGAATGGAGGAGAGAGATTTGAAGAGAAGAGAGCACAAAGGAAAAAGGAACGGTGTGTTTGGTTTTGTGTGAAAAAATAAATGACGAGAACTGAAAGGGGTGAGAATTTCCAGTGCAATCCACATTACACGGGCTTTGTGCGTCAAACCTGTTTTCCCTGGTTAAATTAAAAAATTGGCTAAAAAATTATTATTAGAGAGGGTGAAGCGGAATGTCACATAACTATTATCTAGACCCAGCTAATGTAAACTCCCCCTACATTTCTGTTAGCGTGATAAAAAATCGGCGCTGCCGCGAATGTACAGTACATTCCTTTACAGATCTTTCTTCTAGGCTCCACCACAGAGATGCAAAAACGACCCTTCATACTTGGCTTGTTTATTATTGTTGTTTAAAAAAAAAAAAACCACATTCGTATGAGGAAAAAGCAGTACGCGTAGTTTGTGCGTGATTATTTTTTTAAACACGGGGAAGATGTATAACAATCTGGTCGGACGTTCAACTGTTACATACAGCGACCTCATTCAGTCTCTCTTTTAATCCAATCAACAAGCTGCCGCGGTCAAAAAGTGCCGTAAAGGTGGTTAAGTAGCATCATAGCGTAAGGATGAAAAATAAGTGAAACATGATTGCAATTCGTAAAGCGTTTATTCCTGGCAAACATATCTGATAATCTTTTTCAATTGGACCATATCGTCCTTATGCTCTGGGATGCCCTCAAAGAAAAAGTCGTCCATGTTCAAAAGGTTGATATACACCATCACATCCTCGGCGCGAGTCACGGGGTCTCTCTTGATGTGGGAAGTTGGCATACCCCTCTTGACGTTATGGAACTCGATATGGATACGGAGGATGCCCCTGAGGTTGGACGGAGTACCCGAAGCCTCATAGTCGCTTCGAATATTTGCCAAGGATTCGTTCAAGGTGCCATCCGCTTGCAAGAAGCAACCTTGAATATCGCCAGAAGTGTCGTTTGACTGCTGCATCTTGACTTCAAGACGGCTGCTGTAGAACTTGACCGCAAGAGAGCCGGCGTACTTGCTGTCAGAGAAAAACCCGGCTCCATCCGAACGTGTACTAGAGCAGGCGAGGTCCGCGCGAGCTCCACCGATGGTGTATCCGAACCCTTTGGCTGTGTCAATACTGTCAATTTGTAACCGGAGAGTGATACACCAGGTGGGCAATGCGACACCTCGAAGGAACGGAAGATCAACAAGACGGTAGCCGTTGAAGCGTTGAAGTGATCGACGGACAAGGGGCTCCAGTGCATTCCCCTTTGACGTTGAAGCCACGCCGAAGTTGGTGACAACTTGGTAGAGTTGATCCAGGTACTCAACGAACGACGGATCCTTGCATGAAGCCTTTAACTCTTCCTGCACCGCCTCGAGTACCATTGGCTCGTCCATGATCAAATGAATACCATCAGGATGTGGTGTTAGTCTGCACAAGGCCTTGTCCACAAAGTCGGACTGCTGTTGGCTCGAGAACGAAATTTTGGCACCTGAGAGACGATAGGCCAAGACCATTCGGCAAAGAAGTCGAGCTGCCTCGCCTGTATTGTCGCTCTCGAGGATTTCGCGAACCCCGGCCCGGAGTTGAGTTAATGTCTGCTCAATCGACAGGTCGACAGCACTAGCCAGAATCGCTTGTTTCGAGGCCTTAGAAGAGCAGCGCGAGGCAAGGCGTTTGACGACGTCAACGGAAAATCGAGCTCGTCCTGTTAGCTTGTAGCGTTTGGCAGGTGGGATTTCACAGCCCGACATGTCGACCAGATCCGAGAGAAGTTTGTCCACGTCGGCCTCATTGAATAGGGGGAATTCCGTTATTCTTGTGAAATTGATGGGTTTGGCGATGGCCGAGCATACATGATCGGCATCCTGCAGTGAGAGTGCTGTGCCAAGAATCACCAGCGTTGATTGCATTCTGCTCAGCGTTCCGGACAAAGGCGTGAGAAACCCGCGGCGGAAGTTGGATCGTATTTGGCTGTGGCTGTCGAAGAGGACGTTATTGCTCATGCTCAATGCGGATGGCGAGAGGAGCTTGCCAGACAAGATATGGGTCACTGCAACTTGAGCCTCATCAAGGGCAATCACCAATCCAAGTCGTTTGGGAACAAGGAGAGACTGAAGCTTGGTTTGGACTTTACCAAGCATGGCGTAAATTGTAAGGTAGTCGTACTCCCGAAGCTTATAGACCAGCTCGCCGATAGTTGTGGCTCCTCCAGTGGTCTGCTCACGGAAAAACTGGATTGGTTCCAGATCAGGATTCTTGTTGAGAAGCAGCAGGAGGAAAAGAAATCGCGCAAGGAACTCGTGCTCGACGCGCTCTCCTACGCGTGCCTTCACATCGGAATCGAGATTCAACAATTCGGGTAATGTCCTCGGCCCACCGACAGTCCTGTTCCTGTATATACGCTCGACGTCTTTGGCAAGTGTGACAAAGTTGGAGTCTTCAAAATCAGGAGAGATGGTGGGACCCGGAAAACAACAGACGCAGTAAACGACAAAGTGCTTGGCTGCCAGATCAATGACAGTGGCGGTCTTTCCTGAGCCGGACGGGGCAACCATGGCGACCACGCGGTGACCATTGAACTTTCCGATGTCGTCCTCGACAATAGAACGAAGAGTCTCATCGCTTGCCGTCCTCGCTTGCTTGTCCAGCTCAAGTCCTAACATCACCAGGCTTGTTTCTGTCGCTGTATTGTGATATGGCAAGGTCCTCTTGTAAAAAGGTCCTAGTCTTTCCCTTTGAGACGATTCGACGGTCTTTGGATCGAAGGGATCAGTGATATGGTGATGGTCGACGCCTTTGAGAATCACTGCCAACTCCTTCTCGATGAGGTCTACCGGGACAGACTTCAGTTGTGTGGGTGATACTGCATAATCAAAGGGAAAAAATGGAAGTTAGCTAATAGCATCAAGCCTACCCATTAGAGCTTTAAAACGAGGTTGATGACACTCACTAGAATGAGACCTATCCCATGGATGGGCCGAACGAGGAGCGGAGACGCGGGTAGGAACAGAGGCTTGAACTATGTCAGCGCAATCGGATGTGTAAATTGAGGTTAGTACGATGGACAAGATTATAAGCAAGGTCTGAATGAAAGTAGCACGCGTGTGCATTACCTTGGAGAGCGGGACGCTGGACAAAAATGTAAATGTCATCGTCCGGACTCTTGGAAAACAGCTTGGAGAGGGGCGTTCTAGGGTTGTTCAGCTCCGTTTTGTCGTGATGGGTACCGTCGTCATGAATGGAGACGCGGTAGAGGATGAGCTTGTTTGCAACAATGTCGTCAAAGTCAGGACTCTGCTTTTTCCTGATGCGATCCTTGAGGTCGCCGACAGTGTTACTTGAAGGAATCTTGACAGGGAACGCGTTGGTGGTAGCCTCTCCGTCGACAAGACAGTACAGGGTGAGTGACTTGCCGACCATGATCCTGTGACGTATCAATGAAAAATGAAAATAAGATGAAGAAGGCTGGAAGGTACTGGATGAAAAGATGGCGAGGATTGAGAGATAAAGAATGAAAGAGGATGTGGGTTTACAAAGGGAAGATTAAAAGCGTGGGAGCGGTGGATGGAGATGCTACGCAACAATAATGGACGCATTAAAAACGTCATAGCAGATGCAAGCTACCAAATTTTGATGCGGTGACGTTTTTAATGCGTCCATTATTGTTGCGTAGCATCTCCATCCACCGCTCCCACGCTTTTAATCTTCCCTTTGTAAACCCACATCCTCTTTCATTCTTTATCTCTCAATCCTCGCCATCTTTTCATCCAGTACCTTCCAGCCTTCTTCATCTTATTTTCATTTTTCATTGATACGTCACAGGATCATGGTCGGCAAGTCACTCACCCTGTACTGTCTTGTCGACGGAGAGGCTACCACCAACGCGTTCCCTGTCAAGATTCCTTCAAGTAACACTGTCGGCGACCTCAAGGATCGCATCAGGAAAAAGCAGAGTCCTGACTTTGACGACATTGTTGCAAACAAGCTCATCCTCTACCGCGTCTCCATTCATGACGACGGTACCCATCACGACAAAACGGAGCTGAACAACCCTAGAACGCCCCTCTCCAAGCTGTTTTCCAAGAGTCCGGACGATGACATTTACATTTTTGTCCAGCGTCCCGCTCTCCAAGGTAATGCACACGCGTGCTACTTTCATTCAGACCTTGCTTATAATCTTGTCCATCGTACTAACCTCAATTTACACATCCGATTGCGCTGACATAGTTCAAGCCTCTGTTCCTACCCGCGTCTCCGCTCCTCGTTCGGCCCATCCATGGGATAGGTCTCATTCTAGTGAGTGTCATCAACCTCGTTTTAAAGCTCTAATGGGTAGGCTTGATGCTATTAGCTAACTTCCATTTTTTCCCTTTGATTATGCAGTATCACCCACACAACTGAAGTCTGTCCCGGTAGACCTCATCGAGAAGGAGTTGGCAGTGATTCTCAAAGGCGTCGACCATCACCATATCACTGATCCCTTCGATCCAAAGACCGTCGAATCGTCTCAAAGGGAAAGACTAGGACCTTTTTACAAGAGGACCTTGCCATATCACAATACAGCGACAGAAACAAGCCTGGTGATGTTAGGACTTGAGCTGGACAAGCAAGCGAGGACGGCAAGCGATGAGACTCTTCGTTCTATTGTCGAGGACGACATCGGAAAGTTCAATGGTCACCGCGTGGTCGCCATGGTTGCCCCGTCCGGCTCAGGAAAGACCGCCACTGTCATTGATCTGGCAGCCAAGCACTTTGTCGTTTACTGCGTCTGTTGTTCTCCGGACCCTACAACCTCTCCTGACTTTGAAGACTCCAACTTTGTCACACTTGCCAAAGACGTCGAGCGTATATACAGGAACAGGACTGTCGGTGGGCCGAGGACATTACCCGAATTGTTGAATCTCGATTCCGATGTGAAGGCACGCGTAGGAGAGCGCGTCGAGCACGAGTTCCTTGCGCGATTTCTTTTCCTCCTGCTGCTTCTCAACAAGAATCCTGATCTGGAACCAATCCAGTTTTTCCGTGAGCAGACCACTGGAGGAGCCACAACTATCGGCGAGCTGGTCTATAAGCTTCGGGAGTACGACTACCTTACAATTTACGCTATGCTTGGTAAAGTCCAAACCAAGCTTCAGTCTCTCCTTGTTCCCAAACGACTTGGATTGGTGATTGCCCTTGATGAGGCTCAAGTTGCAGCGACCCACATCTTGTCTGGCAAGCTCCTCTCGCCATCCGCATTGAGCATGAGCAATAACGTCCTCTTCGACAGCCACAGCCAAATACGATCCAACTTCCGCCGCGGGTTTCTCACGCCTTTGTCCGGAACGCTGAGCAGAATGCAATCAACGCTGGTGATTCTTGGCACAGCACTCTCACTGCAGGATGCCGCTCATGTTTACTCGGCCATCGCCAAACCCATCAATTTCACAAGAATAACGGAATTCCCCCTATTCAATGAGGCCGACGTGGACAAACTTCTCTCGGATCTGGTCGACATGTCGGGCTGTGAAATCCCACCTGCCAAACGCCGCAAGCTAACAGGACGAGCTCGATTTTCCGTTGACGTCGTCAAATACCTTGCCTCGCGCTGCTCTTCTAAGGCCTCGAAACAAGCGATTCTGGCTAGTGCTGTCGACCTGTCGATTGAGCAGACATTAACTCAACTCCGGGCCGGGGTTCGCGAAATCCTCGAGAGCGACAATACAGGCGAGGCAGCTCGACTTCTTTGCCGAATGGTCTTGGCCTATCGTCTCTCAGGTGCCAAAATTTCGTTCTCGAGCCAACAGCAGTCCGACTTTGTGGACAAGGCCTTGTGCAGACTAACACCACATCCTGATGGTATTCATTTGATCATGGACGAGCCAATGGTACTCGAGGCGGTGCAGGAAGAGTTAAAGGCTTCATGCAAGGATCCGTCGTTCGTTGAGTACCTGGATCAACTCTACCAAGTTGTCACCAACTTCGGCGTGGCTTCAACGTCAAAGGGGAATGCACTGGAGCCCCTTGTCCGTCGATCACTTCAACGCTTCAACGGCTACCGTCTTGTTGATCTTCCGTTCCTTCGAGGTGTCGCATTGCCCACCTGGTGTATCACTCTCCGGTTACAAATTGACAGTATTGACACAGCCAAAGGGTTCGGATACACCATCGGTGGAGTTCGCGCCGACCTCGCCTTCCTCACCAAATGCCCTCCAAACAAGATGCTTATTGCCTGCTCAGGCACACGTCCGGATGGAGCCTGGTTTTTCTCTAACAGAAAGTATGCCGGCTCTCTTGCGATCAAGTTCTTCAGCAGCCGCTTTTCAGTCGACATGCAGCAGTCAAATGAAACTTCCAGTGATATTCGAGCTTGTTTCTTGCAAGCGGATGGCACCTTGAACGAATCCTTGGCAAATATTCGAAGCGACTATGAGGCTTCGGGTACTCCGTCCAACCTCAGGGGCATCCTCCGTATCCATACCGAGTTCCATAACGTCAAGAGGGGTATGCCAACTTCCCACATCAAGAAAGACCCCGTGACTCGCGCCGAGGATGTGATGGTGTATATCAACCTTTTGAACATGGACGACTTTTTCTTTGAGGGCATCCCAGAGCACAAGGACGATATGGTCCAATTGAAAAAGATTATCAGATATGTTTGCCAGGGCTGATCCCTTCTCCAAGATCTCCCTCTTGCGCCACCACGTTCAGATCCTCCCATGTCTGGCGCATTAAATCACTCTTTTGGACCAGCTACTTTTTTTTTTTTTTTTTTTTTACTAATAACAACGCAGATTGCACTGCCCACTGCAACCGTTGATTGTTTGAAAAGAACAAATGAAAAAAATGGCGTTTTATTGTTGTAGGCTAATGATGAACTAGAATAGTACCCGCGACTTCGCTCGCGGAAGGTGTGGAGCATGTGTCGGGTGAAAAAGAAATGGTATGGGTGTGGTTTCGTATTGTAATATTTATTTATGTCTGTCTTTCTGTCACTTTCTTTTTTTTTTTTTTTTTTTTTGGGTGGGGGGGAATCTACGTTGGTCTGCCCAGGTATTTTTAAAAATGCCAACAAGCTACGCCCTCTGTAACTTGAACTTCTCTACGCACATCTACCCCACACACACTCTGCACTTATACACACACACACACATACACACTCTCTCTCTCTCTCTCTCTCTCTCTCTCTCTCGCTCTCTCTCTCTTTCTCTAGATTCTTAGCACTCGCCCTCCTACCACACTCCAGGCACAGATCGACAATGGCGCTCGGAGCACCCATCTCTTGTGCAAAAAATGAGATCCCGTTATCCATAACTTCCTGTTTCATTTTCCCCTTTGTATTCGCTTGGCTCTTTTCCCCCGCTAAGATAAAGTGTCCCAGCAATGAAGATAGTTTATTTGTTGTATCTGTGCCTCTTGCTTCGGCATCTCTCGACTCTGTTGGCCTTCTTCCCGCTACCTTCTTGTTCTATCTTCTGGTCTTGCCTGATCTTAAGGATCGTAGCCTGAAGACGATTGTACGTGAGCTTATGGTCCTTAGGCTTCAGGGACAAGGTGACACCGACCAGCTTGTTAAGCTCTTCCTTCAAACCATTGACATCCTCCAAAGTGACTATCTTGGGTGCGAGCCTAGCCACTTTTCTCGGTGGAACAGAGTCGGGGTTCCAATCGACGTGCCTCTGTTGGCTGTCGAATTCCAAGTGCTTCAGTTCCATCTTGACCAACGCAACAAGATGACATTCGATCCCAAGCTGGAAGCCAGTAGGACAACTACATCTAGAGATTGTGCCATGCTCAAAGTCGACGTTCATCCTGTAAAACACCTTCCTTCCGTTGACCGTTTTCTTGGACAAGGATCGGATCTTGACCGTCGAATCTCCTTCATACTTGATACGTCCGTGCTTGTTGTCGGTTATATCCTTTGCGGTAAATTCCTTCGCCACCTTGGTTAGCTCGACCGTCTTCCTACTTCCCGAGAACATGCGTCCTGCTCCTGAATCGCTGGTGATGCACTTGAGTTTGTAGGAAGGGAGAACTTGGCGATACAAGATGTAAATAACCGTGTCTGCATACTGACGCCTGCTATTAGCAAGATAGTGCCTCTTGACCTGATTATGGTAGGACTCGATAAGGTTGTTGGTGTTCATACGTCCATATGAGATGTCCTTCCTGTGAGCGAACATCCACCTCGGCTTCATGTCGACGGAAAAGTATCGATCCAGAGTTCGGAGGAATGCGTAACCTTTCCACTTTTCCTTGAACTCGTCGATGTTGCGGTTGGCTTTGGTGAGGTCCTCCTCTACAACGAGGAATATATTGAACTAGTATGAAAAAAAAAGTTAGGGTAATTGTGGAGCGTGGAGACAATGGTGGTGTATGCCAAACGTTGATGCAGTAGCTGCTGAATAAAAAAAAAGAGAGAAAAAAACATGCGTTTTACCTCCCAAACAATTTCCGTCACCGTCGCTGCCTTTGCTGTCTTCAACCGTTTCTCAGGCCGTCCTGCTTTATCCAAACATTTACGGCGAGAATCCGTTGCCCTCATGACTAGTGCTGTTACAGCCTTGAGCACATGGAAATAGCAATAAAAAACCTGGGCGGAAGGAAATGCTGCTGTGATAGTGTCGAACTCGGCGATACCCTGATCCATTAATGCGACCTTCGGAGAATAATCCTGGTGGTAGTACATCTTGATATGCGCCAGGAGTCGGAAGATCCAATCGATGAGAACCGCTTTTTTCGCCGACCGGGTTAAACAGAAGGCGACGGGTATACCGTAGCCTTCCGGATTTTGTCTTGCGACCAGTGTGAACAAGAAAGTGTTCTTCCTAATTCGTAAAAAAGAAACAAAAACATCAGATGGGAACAGGCACCAAATAGCCGCATCGGTAAAAAAAAAAAACATACCCAAATACCCCATGGGTTCCATCAATGGAGATGATATCACCATGAGCAAGTAGCTTCTCCATCTGCCACTTTGAAGAGAAACAGTAGGCGCCATCGTTTTGGTCGTGGCAAGAGAACCCCTGTTCTCCAGCAATGTCGTCCATCCAGCGTTGTGCGGAGATGACCCGGTCGTCGTGCTTCATGACAATTTCCAAGAGGACCTCGGACTTGACGTTCTGGATGTCATCAGGCGTGAGGATATCGTCGCGGCTTGGCCTAAGACCTTGAGCGATATCCGCGGTGATTTGCTCGTTGCTCTTGGAGAGCTTCACCTTTATATCCCTGTTTCTCGCGCCATTCTCAACTTCAGCTCGAATAAGTCGTTTCATGCCGTTGGAAAGGGGCAGATGGGCGACCTTATTTTTTGCAAAGTTGTGATTGTGCCGATAGAAATACATCACTTCAACCACCTCCACTACTTTGTGACTGGTCAAGGATTGAGCCTTGTAGTGGAAGTTGATTCTACTTTTGCAGCCGCATTTTTTAGATCCTTTCCAAATAGCCCGCGGCCTTCCTGTTCTTCCCCCTGCATGGCGATACTTCTTCTCCTCCTTGTTGCCTGAGCAACCGCATTTGAAATAGTCAACACGGTCACCTCCCTTGCATTGGCGGCCTCCTTTCTTGTAAAAGGTGACTCCAAGGAACCGCTCATGCTTCGCCAACCAGATAGGGAATACGTCCTTCAACAGCGTGAAAGCAATAAGATCCTCGCCTCGGTAATTGGTGGACTCCTTGACCAATTCGATGTCGCCGTCAGTGAGAGTTCGTCCCGATTCAATGATAGATGCGTCTTTGTTAAACTCTTCCATGAACTCAGTGTGTTGGTTGTTGCCGACTTTGCGCTCCGAATCCTTGTTGTGTTTCTTCGTCTATACATTTTCAAAATGAGTGAAAAGCAGTCAGTGTGCATGTCGATTTTGTTTCGCAAGCATTTTAGACTAGTACAGGACCGAACTTTGTTCACTTTGCTTTGCCTTTTGTTGATTTGCCTATTACCTTTTGCTTCAATTGCATGTTTTCTTTGGACTAGTTGAATGATTTCATGGAACTACTCATCCATGAACTATAGGGTCTTGTTTGTTTTAAGGCGGGAGGTCTTGCGCTTACACCATAATTTAGGTATGCATATCGAAAGGTAGAGAGTACCAATACTGTCTTTGTCCTGAAGAGGACCCATGAAAATCTCTTCCGTTTATGTTACACAAAAGAAATGGTCATCGATCTAAGAATTCCATCAACTCCTCTTGCTCATCTGTTTGACTTGGGTATACTCGAAATGATGTTACGCTGCAGACAACAGGCTGAAGGTTGGGAAGACAACAGATCATGTGTTCTTAATTTTTACTCAATTGCAAAGTAACGAGGTAGAGAATAGGTCATCAGACCTTGGTTTAAGGTTAGGGGGAGGGCGAAGTGTTAATTTTAGTAGAGAAAAATAGACGGGAGGGAAGAGAGGTGTTTTTATTCATGTTGGCACAACACTACCAGGATCTTTTTATGATCCAGGCAGGCCACATTTTCATTTCTCAATTCGCCAACTAAAAAGAGTTGCTCACTTGCAGCACCGATCCTCAACAGAAGATTGCCAAAGGTTCATTGCTGCAAAAGTCGACCAATCATTTCCAAAGTCCCAGAGAGACCTAGACTGGGATAACTGACAGCCAAGCGTTCATAGCGACTATTAGCGACGGTGTTTTTTGATATTTTGATATTGGCTCTTTCTCTCACTCTTCATTGTCATTCGAGGTCGCATAGTTGATGCTTTAGTTCCTATCACTTTTTAGTGTGGTAGTAGTTAAATGCTTCATTTTCAAGTGCTTTTATTTCAACATTTTTCTAAGGGTTCAAAAGCCTCTTCGTTTTAGTTTAAAAGGACAAGGAAGGATCGTATTCCTTCAAACACACCTCTGAGTGATCGGTCGACTCTTGTGCAACATTGCAAGTGGTCGGTCGACTCTTGGCATGATTGATAACCTTCACACAAGTTGTATTTTCAGTGGCTTATAATGCTGTTAATGGTAGTTTTGGATGAAGCTTGGATCATAAGGATCCCCAGCTTTTCTGTAGCCCATCTCCTTCCATATCTGAAGACTCCAATTTTCTTTCCTCTCCACAACGCCCATATCACCTTCTGCAACAGTTGTATAATAATAGTCTGCTCTCCTTCTAACCACCTTCCCATCTAAACCACCTTCTCATCTAACCACATCAATATCTAACCACATCAATATCTAACCACATCAATATCTAACCACATCACCACCATCCTGGAGCCCATAACCTAACACATATAAATATCCCAGCTCCCCTGTACTATAAACATTATCACTGCCCCAACTCTTGCACTTGCCCCTTCCTTCTTTTGACTTTGTTTCCTGCTGTTGCACCTTCTTTATTCTTTCCTTATAGCATTATAGCACTCTTTCTCTTATTACACTCTTTTCCTGACCCTGACCTAAGAAAAGTACACCCTGTCAAGACCGAAGTACTTACAGTAAATATAGCCTCAAATCCCTTGTCAACTCTCCATTCTCGCATCCTACTTGTCTAACTCCTTTCACAGCCCTTTTTACCAATTCATATCTTCTGTGGTATTGCGGTTAGATTACGTCATGACGTATTTCCAAGCGCAAATTCGGATCAATCAAGCCAAAGAGGACGAACCGAGATTGCAGCTAATCAAAAGTGAGACTGGTTGTTGGAGGGATCCCATTCCGCTCACAGC